GGAAAAGAAGAGTGATCGTCAGTGGCAAAAGGCAATTGCCGAAAAGCACCACCAAGAGCTGGCTTCATGCTCAGGAGTGAATGCTGAGCCTCTTCCTCATGGTTTCCGGTGCTCCACAAGTTCAGAGAAACGTCTCTGGTAAGAAACTGTAGAAGTAGTGCATGGAAGTGTTACCAGAAAGGGTTCCTGATCCAGACCCTCAGAAAGGGTTCTTGGATCTTACACAAGATCCAAGAATTTAGGGTGCATCCGTAAAGTGAAAGCAAGTTTATTAGTGTACTAATCTGTTTTCATGCTGCTGATAAAGACATACCTGAGACTGGGTAATTTATACAGGAAAGAGGCTTAATGGACTCACAGTTCCACATGGCTGGGGGAGCCTCACAATCATGGCAGAAGGCAAGGAGGAGCAAGTCACATCTTACATGGATGGTGGCAGGCAGAGAGAGAGCTTGTGCAGGGAAACTCCCCTTTATAAAACCATCAGATCTTGTGAGACTTATTCACCATCACGACAACAGCATGGAAAGACCTGCCCCCATGATTCAATCACCTCCCACAGGTCCCTCCCAAAACACATGGGAATTCAAGATGAGATTGGGGTGGAGACACAGTCAAATTGTATCAATTAGGAAAGTAAAGGAATAAAAGAACCGCTGCTTCATAGAGCAGCCCCAAGGGCTGCTGGTTGCCCATTTTTATGGTTATTTCTTGATTATATGCTAAACAAGGGGTGGATTATTCATGCCTCCCCTTTTTAGGCCCTATAGGGTAACTTCCTGACATTGCTGTGGCATTTATAAACAGTCATGGTGCTGGCGGGAGTCTAGCAGTGAGGCTGACCAGAAGTCAATCTCATTGCCATCTTGGTTTTGATGGTTTTAGCTGGCTTCTTTACTGCAACCAGTTTTATCAGCAAAGTCTGTGAGCTGTATCTTGTGCCAATGGCCTATTTCATCCTGTGACCAAATGCCCTAACCTCCTGGGGATGTAGCCCAGTAGGTCTCAGCTTTATTTTACCCAGCCCCTATTAGAGATGGAGTTGCTCTGGTTCAGACACCTCTGACAGAAGTATAGTCTTAATCAGGATTTTAAAAAGCTCCCCAGGTAGTTCTAAAGTGTTTCCAAGATTGAGACGCACTACACATGATTAGAGCTTTTAAATTGCAGTGGTAAGTTACCCGGGAACCATGCTAAAAAACACAAATGCTGATTCAGTCAGTATGGGGTGGGGGCCTGAGAGTCTGCATTTCTAAAAAGCTTTCAGGAGACCCAGTGCTGCTTGTCGAGGACCAAACTTCCCAGGTACCAGATGAGATAATCTACTTCCAAATGTCCTCTAGTCAAGCCACGCCTCATGAGCTCTCACGTGATTTTCTTCCTGTCCTAACCCTACACAGAATGAAGTACCTCATGCTATTTACAGGTAGGAAGGCATTTTTGTGTATACACTGTTTTGTTTTTAAATATCTGATAGCAACAAATCTTATTCTAGTCAAACATGAAATATTACCGGAAAAGTACAAAACCCTGAAGTCCAAATTTGGAGTGATGACCTGAGGCTCACAAAACCAGAGTGCAGTTGCTGATGTGGGGGATGCACTTAGAACCTGAGTTGGTATGGAACTTATTTTAAACTGAAGCCACTAAGAATTCAATAGGTGCAGAAAGTAGCCTTCTTGGTGCTTCCTTTATCTGACAAAAAGCAGAGATTTCTGGAAAAATGAGGCTGCCGTACTTCCCTCTTACAGGTGGCTTTTACTCCCAGGGAGAAGATCAAGAAACCCACCATAAGTCTGCTGTCCAGGGAAGTTTTATGGCCATGAATGCGATGCAGAGATCACTCAGGCCTGTATGAACAAGCACCATCCCAAACTCTTCATCTCTCATTTGTTCTTCTAGAAAACCCATGTATTCTTCCTATAGAGGCCTTTTCCCGCCTCTTTTCCCTACTAAGCTGGGCATACAAGTTTCTAGCTTTAGCTACTTATTGAGTTTCTTCTTTTTTGAAGCTCCTATATGCATACAAATAAGGTCCCCCTGCCCACCTGTTAATCTGTCTTTTATCAGTTTGATTTGCAGGCCCCCAGGTACTGAACTGAACAGGACAGAGGAAAAGTGTTTCCTCCCTGACACTGAGCAACTGGAGGCTGCTGTTAAGTAACCTTCCCTCATTTCTACATCCGTCCTCCGTCCCTCCTTCTAGCCCCTCAACCCACGTTGTGTCTCATGTTCCTATTCACCTAAAAGAAAAAAGGAAAATCAAATAATACTGTTTAAATAAACCTCTGCCTTATAGTTTGTAAACTGTTTTCTGTCTTGTTTTGTTTTGTTTTGTTTTGAGACAGAGTCTTGCTCTGTCACTCAGGCTGGAGTGCAGTGGCACCATCTCAGCTCAATGTAAACTCTGCCTCCCAGGTTCAAGCAATTATCCTGCCTCAGACTCCTGAGTAGCTGAGATTACAGGCATGTGCCACCACGCCTGGCTAATTTTTGTATTTTTAGTAGAGACAGGATTTCACCATGTTGGTCAGGCTGGTCTCGAACTCCTGACCTCGTGATTCACCCACCTCAACCCTCAACCTTCCAAAATGCTGGCATTACAGATGTGAGCCACTGAACCTGGTCAACTGTTTTCTGTCCTTGTAATTGATGTAATTACAATTGGATTAATACTTCACCTGCTGGACACTGGGTAAGAACTCTCCAAGTAGAAGTGGAAATTTTTCTGCAAATGGATCTCATGTTACATAGCACAGGCCTACTGTAATACCAGAGTTACAGAATTTGGACTTGAACATCAAATACTAACACATGTGTTCCCTATATACATTTTCATAAATCAATCAAAAGAATCCTGTAATCCCAGCACTTTGGGAGGCCAAGGCAGGTGGATCACCTGAGGTTAGGAGTTCAAGACCAGTCTGTCCAACATGGTGAAATCCTGCCTCTACAAAAATACAAAAATTAACTGGGCATGATGGCGGGTGCCTGCAATCCCAGCTACTCAGAAGGCTGAGGCAGGAGAATTGCTTGAACCTGGGAGGAGGAGGTTGCAGTGAGCTGAGATGGTGCCATTGTACTCCACCCTGGGCAACTGGGCAAGACTTTTTTTTGAGACAAAAGAAAAAAGAAACTTATCACCCACAAAGCATGATTTTTTAAAAATAAAGGAACTAAAACTCTTAACAAAATAGATAAGATCTTATCTCACAGATCTTAACAAACAAGTTCCTAATTAAGTAATAATACATAGGAACTCATATTGGCCCAAGGTAGGATCTAGAGGTTTTAGAAACTAGTCTCTCGGCCCTGACTTAGACCACAGGTGCTCACAGCCTCAGGTAGTAGGTCCCTTTGACAGCGGAAGGACTCCTGCATTGCAAAGATCATTCATGGTATTTGTCTACTTGGGCATTCAGAGGAATTTATCTGAGAGATCTCTGTTCTTCTGTGGCCCTGACATGTCTTTTCTCCTCTTGTATTTTCACTCTTACTTTTCTTCTTTCAGCATTAGGAATGCTTTCCTTTGTTCAGGCCAGCCCATGAGGAAAAGCCAGCCTGCTGTGTCATCTTAACAACATTCATAAAAGGGAATTCTTCATATGTGCCCTTGGCACACAGCACCCCGCGTCAGTTCTAGGAATCCATGTGTGAGGAACAAAGAGGATTGTTTTGTCTGTAAATGGGCTATTCTGACAACAGGGCAATTTTGGCTTCTCTCTAAGCTTCACAAAGCTTTGCAGCACAACCCTGGCAAGGAATCACGACGACAGTAGCTGATCTGAAGCCACACATACCATGTGCGGGGCCGGAACATGATTAAAGCAATCAAATGCACAAGGTTTAGAGAATGAACTGTTACAAGTTTGTAGGGGGAGAGGATTCCAAAGTCCTTACTCAAGGTTCAAGAATTATAGCAAAATGGATCTAATATAATAACAACCATAATTATTATTAATATTATTGTAGCTAAACTTTAACACTTGCTACATGCTGTGATTAAACACATCAGATTTAAACACATCACTTTAAATAGAATTCCATGAGTTAGGTCTTATCTCCATTTAGGAAATGGGGAAACTAAGGAATGAGGTTATGAAAACTGCCCAAGGTTAATCTGCTGGTGAGAGGCAGGGATGGTGCTGGAATCCAGGCCTCCTAGCCGTTGCTTCCTGCTTCATCTTCCTGTTTTTAGCATCAGCAACATCACGTTGCCTGGAGACCCACTGAAAGCTGGATTTGGAGGTCACTTAGAGGTTACACTCCCCTCCCCTTCTTCACCTTATGGGTGAAAAAGCAGAGACTTGGACAGCTCCCTTGAGTTGCCCAAGGCCAATGTAGGTGGAGCTAGGAGTATGACCTAAGTCTCCTGAGATACAGCTTGATAGGCTGTCTGCTACCCAGGGTTATGTGTATACTCTTTCATCCAATTAATTTTTCAGCCAACAGCTACATCCTTTCATTTGAGCCCTGTGCTTTCAAATTACATGTCTTACCACTCAAAGAAGTGGGACTAAATCCACAGAGTTTTGCAAGCTTAAAGGTACCTCTTAAAGATCTGGAAGCCTACAGTACAGTATTATTCATGTCAATACAGAGCCAGGAGATGGATCTCTATATTGCTTTAGGTAAATCTCTTCTTAAATTAAAACACAGACTATGTTACAGCAAGTCATTGAGAGTCATAAGAGGCAAAAGTGAGAAAGTGAATTGATCAAATCACCCACAGTCATGGCGCAGACATCAGTTTAGGCAAGTCATCATTTAACCTAATTGAAGAGTTAATAGTTCCTACATTCTTCAACTTATTTATTTCCGGCCCTGAGTACTTCAGATGTGCTGCCCTGAGAACTCCATACTCACAACATTCCTTTGACCTTTCTTAATCCTCCAATGACATTACCAGTGAGGTTCTGTTATTAAATCCATTCCACAGTCCCAAGAGACCGAGGTTTAAAGAAATGAAGCAATGTGCCCGAGGTTGCTGGAGACTTTACCTGAATCCAAGTGATCTAGGTGCCAGGGGTCGGTGGCAGACGACATGGGGGAGAGGGTCAGCGGCGAGGCTCCGCAGTTGGACTCCACTAGCTCGCCCTGGATGTGGACGTGAGCCGAGGCGTTCGTCTGCCTCAAGGCAGCCTTGAGAGGGGCGATCTGGTTGAACTGGACTCTGGAGAGGCAACCAGTGAATCCTGGGGTATTGTATTTGTGAATCTCTTGGTCAATTTTCCCTGTTTCTAAAAGAAAAAAAGAAATGAAAATGTAATGCGACTGACCATAGTCCAGCTGTACAACACACCTGTCTTTGAATGCTTGTGTCCAAATCTTACATTTAGGTTTCAGTTTAAGATGTTACATTGTTTTAGGTGAACTATTAATGAGTCAATAAGACTTAGGGCTGCAGACTTGACTTTAAAGGAACCTTGTGTTAACAGAGAATATGGTAGGGTGAAAATAAGACTATATGCCATAAAATACATTTCTCAGTACATTCTGGCCACTTCAGATGCTGCTGAAGCTCACCACAGTGACTTGGTCCTGATTGATTTTTCTCATCTTTTCTGATGCTTCCCTGACCCTCTTAACAAATTGAATAAAACAGCTCTGCTCTGCCCTCCTGGCAAACTATGGTTCTGTTTTGTATCTCTTACTTATTTTCTTCTTCAGAAATCTTAAAACAAAACATAACAGAACAAAAATGAATAAGAATTCCAGTAGCCTATACGTGAACATCTCCTTTCTTCAAAAATCCAATCCCCTTGGAATTCTGAGATTTACGGAATCCCTGCTAGAGTCTGATGGAGGTTTTGGCAGTCAGGAAACTTTCCCAACCCAATCACAAACATACACATGCCTTGAAGAATCTCACCATCTCCCCGCCACCTGTAGGCTCAACATCTTCCCAAACTAACTCAGCTCACAGGTGAGACTGAGTAGAGGCAGTTCCAAGGTACCAAGGGCAATGTACCCACACATTGTTATACCAGTTGAATCAATGTCTTTTGGCCCTCTGTCCCAAGTTTTAGAAACTATCTAACAGAAACAAATGTTGAAAAGGTCCTTAAATGCTTAAGAGCCCTTAGCTAGTGGGCCAGGTGGACTGACCTCAGAGCCTTTTAACCACTACTGGGAACCATGTGAAAAGGATAATTCCAGCGGCAGTGTCGCAATTGCTCTGAGCAAGTGCTGCGTTAACCCCTCATGTCCCTGCCGACTCCCTGGGCTCACAGGAAGATTCTTTTGCCCCAGGCCTGAGGCAGGGTGCTGCGGGGGACGTGGATAAAGCGCCTTGTTCTTCTCCAGCATCTTTGTTCGCTTGCTTGCCCTTTGCTGAAGCCGTTGTTATCTGTCGTGAACCAGTGTTCGTTTTATCTCCTCTGTTAGAGATCTGGGTAGAAAACTTCTGACTCCGGCTCCATGTCATAGGGTCCCTGACAATTTTCACAACTTTGAGGAGGGCAGGTTTCCCTAAGACACCACAGAAAATCAATCGTTTCAAAGCCGTATCTATCTGCGGGGTCCCAATTTAACATGGAGTCCACACTTCTTAAAGAGCTGTCTTCCCCTCGGTATCTCCTTCTGAGGTGGCCTCCAGGGAGGGAGCCTGCGGCATGGGGTTCCGATGGTGGAGCAGGGAGAGATCGTGGGTGGCAGCAGAGGCGTCCAGGCCCAGGCCTGTGGGGCTGCGAGCACTGGCAGAAGCGTCCACTGAGCAGCAGAAGCTGGGGCTGGATGGCAGGAATGAGCCCTGGCGAATGACCTGCTCTCACGTTTCCGTTCTCTTTAGGGCTCTTTCACTCTCTTTAGCTTTTCTCCTTTCTGGGCCTTCTCCCTTTCGGGGAAAATTCCCAGTGTTTCAACTGTTGTTTCTTTCCTATAAGGCAGCAGGGTCACCAAAAGGAGGATTCTGATGCCCTGGAGGGCAGAACCAGTATTTCCCAAACTGGAGTGTGTTCCACATCTAGTTGATGTGCCCCTTTCCTAGAGACCCTTGGCTGGGACCAATTCCCCTGGGGGGCCAAAGTGCAGTAGATGCTCTGGAGTTTGCAGGACCTGATGGTTCCAACTCAGGGCTATGTGATAAGAATAATATTGATACAACGGTAGAGAAAGGTGGCAGAGAAAATCTAGGCAGAAAGGGGCGAGTCCCTGTCAAACCCTCACCCTCAAGCCAGAAACTGCAGCCCAAAGTGAGAACTTATATCCCTGTTTTCTGGCTCAAATGTTGCCTTTTCCAAAACCACCCATGGCCCTGCCCCACTGAATCTTGTGCCTATAAAAACCCCATACTCAGCTGGCAGAGAGAAGAGAAGCAGCTGGACGTTGGCGACTACGGTTGGAAGTTGGAGAGAAGCAGCTTGACTTCAGAAGGACAACTTGACATGTAACATCAGAGAAGAATCTAGCCAGAGATGGCTGGATTTCAGGAGAAGATTACCTTCTCTCTCCATCCCCTTTTCAACTTCCCTTCCTGCTGAGAGCCACTTTCATTGGCAATAAAATCCCCCACATTTATCATCCTTCAATTTGTTTGTGTGACGTCATTTCTCCTGGATGCAGGACAAGAGCTTGGGCGCTGCTAGTGTGGATACAAAAGGCTGTCACACTTGCTGTTTGTCCTCACTGAAAAGGCAGAGGGACCACTGACTTAGGCCGTCTGGGGACAGCAGAGCTAAAAGCACTGTAACATGCCCTCTGGGGCTTCAGGGGTTGCAGGCACCACCCCTAGATGTTGCCACAGAGCCTACAGAGTTCATTCCTGTTGATGCTCAAAAGCGCTCACCCTGGCTCCTGCACCCACCCACCCATGTGCTTCCCCCCACAAGGGGTGGAGCGTGGTGGGGCCAAGTGAGTGGAGTTTGCTCCTGGCAGTGCCTAAGTGGCTGGCTGGTTCCAGCATTCGTGTACTCCAGTTCCTGCCTCATTCGCATGCATGCTTCCTCCCATGAGGGGTTGAAAGCTGTGGGCTGGGTAATTGAGGGCACCCCTGTTGCAAGTCCCGCAAATGGGTCAGGGAAATATCCTGCTTCAATATTAGAGCACAGACCAAGGGCAGTACACGTTGGGGAGGGGCGGGACACTGTGCTTAGTACTTACTATGCAGTATCCCATTAAGTCTCCTGGCACCCCTCTGAGCTAAATAGGATTGTCCCCCAAGTGACAGATGAGGAAACTGAGGCTTAGAGAAGTTAAGGCTTTGCCAATGAATAAACATTTATGTTTCATATAAAAAAGCAGAACTCAAATATTTTGCATTAGTCTCAATTTCTCTTTGAAAAATAGACTATATTATGTTTTATATTCATATAGACTTGATATTTCTAGTCAGGAACCCCATAGAAATGGTAGAGTGAGGGTTTTAGAAAAAAGGTAAATGGTTGTTAAAACTGCTTTGAGATCGTGTTTCATTAGAGGTTGAGCCAACAATTTGATTTTCAAAAATGTGGTGAACTGATGTCAAATCTTCATTAGCATCATTTAAAGCACCAGAAAGTTACAGAAATGCCTGTCTAGAATAAGATTCCATATTTCTTAAGAACATCTATAAATGATGGTATAGCCATCACTTTTGAATTTATTACAAGTAAATTATGTTACTCTATAATTGATTAGACTGGTCTCTACTGAAATCAAATATTAAAATATTTACTGTAAGAAACAATGTTCTGCCTGAAGGTATCTTGGGTAAGGTGTTATTTGTGGGGGAAACTTGCTTTAAAAATGCAAATTTTAGAAATGCAGTACAATCACTTTAAAATTAGATTCTCAAGTGGCAATCAGTACTTTAATGTCTTATATTCATAATGATATAGGTTATAGAAAATAGCCCACTTAAAACACTGACACAATTCCGGGTAACACGTTAAAATGAAATGCTCATGACAGTCCTTTTAAGGAAATGCAGCACCTCCATTTGCGATGCATTAGCATGCTTTCCCGCTCCTTGTTCACTGACTGAATGCCAAGTGAGAGGTAGGCGTGTTGTGAGGAATGAAAGAGAAAAGGGCGCCTGAGCAGGAAACACAGGGAGAATAAAGCCAGTTCCACGGAGGACAGAGCTGTGCTTGGGGCCGTGTGTACACGCTTGAGCTCCTTTTCAGCAACTGGACAAGCATTTATTTATTTGGACAGGGATTTATTTATTTATTTATGAGACAGGTTCTTGCTCTGTCATCCAGGCTGCAGTGCAAGGCACAATCTCAGCTCACTGCAGCCTCGACCTCCTGGGCTCAAGTGATCCTCCCACCTCAAGCCTCTTATGTAGCTGGAACCACACTCGTGTGCTACCATGCTGGACTAATTTTTTTTAGTATTTTTTGTAGAGGCGGGGTTTTGTCATGTTACCCAGGTTGGTCCCAAACTCCTAGGCTCCGGCGATCCACCCACCTCGGCCTCCCACAGTGCTGGGATTACAGGCATGAGCCACTGTGCCCAGTCTGGATAAGCATTTAGATGTGACTTATCGAAGGAGATTTCTTATTTTCCTTTGAGATTATTCAAATGCACCTATGTCTTCTTCTTGTGTATTCCATGGGATCTATTCACCAGATGATTTTTGTTAGGTTTTTATATCTCTCAGTTTTCTATCAAGATTCCCTTTTGGGGAGGGGGATGTGATATTATGAGATACAAAGAATCACTGTCAAGTTCATTTTCTACTTTTTATGAAACAGGCAAAAGATTTTAGGGCATCAATGAGACTTAAATTTAAGACTCTTGATAAGTATCTACTGTGTGCTCCCCACTGTGCTAGGGATTGTGGAAGTCACCCCTTCATAGAATCTGCAGGGTCAACACAAATGGCCAAACCTGGTTCTAGCCCTAACACAGCACACGGTCGCTCTTCAGAGACCGTAGTACAGCTGGCCCCAAAGCACTGCACACTGCTCTGCTCCTTCCTTCTGTTCTGGGGTGAAGTATGTTGACTGGTGGCACTGGGGGTCTTTAGGTAATTCACAGACTGGGAGCTAAATAACATCCAATCTTATTCCTTCCCCGATTCCCTTTCAATTCCTCAGAGTCTCAGGCTGGCGCAGCGTGGGGTTGGACTATCTTTATCATGGTGTCAACACTTCCTATTTTCCCTTTTTAACAAAGAGAGGTCAGACCTCAGACCTGGATGCTTCGGTGCGCAACAGTGCTGAATTTCATTATAGTTTTATATTATGCATTTTTAACACCACCGTGTCATGAGAGCAAGCGATACTGGCATTTCATTTCATGGTAGTATTGCAAA